CAAATCTTTGGTGTTCGATACCAAAAATCATTCTACTGATAGAATATATATAAGTCACACCAACGTCACCATATGAAAACAGACACTGCGTCCGCAGAGCAAAAATAACCCGAGAAGCCTTCCTCGTGTGACGTAACGCTTGTTTTTCTAACGCCTGCCGGTATAACTCATCATAATGATCAGACGTCTTCTATGATGCAAATCTTTATCGATGGATCTAAGGTTAAACTTATTTCCATCGTTTTGAACTTTCCGCCATTCAAGTCCCCTCTTTTTTTTCTTTTCTTTTTCAAAACTCTTTCGCCATTCTAAATTGAACAACGAATGAAATATTTACGATAAAATACTCTGTTTACACCGAATATCTCGAGGGAGAAATAGTTCATAGAACTATTGAGTTTACGCATGCGTGGTATAGAAGTTCGGTGATTCAATATGGCGAAGATTAGATACATTTCTTTTTTTTGTAAAAATTCCAGCATCGTTCTAGAAGATTAACATCCGGTTTGTTTTCCAATGATTCAAAATTTATTTGACAAGATTATAAATGCATATTTTTAAAGAATCGTTTATCAAGTATAAACAAAGTAGAATTAAAAATACATATTATAGTAATTACTAATTTTTGAAATTTCAAGTATAAAATAAATATACAATATATCAGACACAAAGAATATATATTACATCCTTCGATAAGAATCGCTCGATAAGAGCAAAATTAACATTATTTTCCCAATCTATAAAAATCTTAGAGAAATGTTTATATCTCGTCAAACAACTCTAAATTTCGCGGGAAATCGTAAACAAACATGCCAAGAATCGCCTAAACGTCGAGATAAACGCCGAGATAAACGCTCTTAAACCGGGGAATCTTCAAAGGATGACCTGAATCGGCTCAAAGAAGACCAAACTCCAATGTCCCGACCGTAAATTCTCGTCAACAACGCATGACTAACTGGATTCTTGCCCTATCAAATCCGTACATAAATAACGTGACTAATGAAAAAAAAGATTAAAAATGCTCGCATTTAGATAAGGGGCGGCGCATTGTCAAAGCGCTCCTTGACCAAAATGACATTCAGGGGTTGACCAATTGCGTGTGAGTCAGTGAAAAAAAATTGGAACGTGAGTTATTCCTGCGTGGATACATTTCGCAAGATCCGGGAACGTTACGAGCGATAATTTGTCACTGACGTCACTAAAGCCTCCACGAGGAAAGATTGGGAAAGGTTCGTTGTGTCTGACGTCAACCGTAATCGCTTCGATTTCTGAAATTACAACTCTCTCTCGATACCAAATGATGACGAGAATCGAAAACAACGTATAATGGAATTTAGATAATGAAACGAAATTTTAATTGATAATATCTTGAAGCGATCGGTAATGTTCGATATATTAATTGAAATATAAATATTGTTTTATAATTATTTTTATCATCGTTTTTATTTAGACTTTTAATGGACGTGTTGGTTTAAAATGCAATTTATATAATGTATAAGATAAGCGTGATGAATTGGCATGCGATTCGATAAAAAGGGGAAACATAGTTTAATCTAGTGATCCCTAGAGTCTAATATCTAGTAAATTTCTTGATCTCTTGAAAATTGATAACTTGTGAATATTCAAATACTCCCTGATCTATTTCACAAACATTCTTATTCTTATTTCTCTCGAGAATCTCCTCAAACTTTTGACATTATAACAATTCTAATCCTGAAAGAAAAAAATTAGCTTAACGCTTCTTCGAGTTTTTTTCAACGCGCTCGATCGTTATGCTAAATCCTATTGATCAAAAAAGAAGAGGAGAAAAAAAAAAAAAGGCGAAGGTTAGCATTCCAGGGTTAAGCTCGACATTGAGTGACACATATCTAACGAGATTACAGGTAGAGCCTCGTCGAGCTTCTGTCGTTGTTCCATCCTGTTCTCGAGAACAAACTCGTTTTCCTTCGCTCCCCTTCCTCCACCCTCCCCATTCCTGACGAACAGAAAAAAAAAAAAGGAAAGACAAGAAAGCCGGAGAGAATTTTGATTAGAAAAGCGAAAAAGGAAAATTTTCCAATTTAGAGATATATTGACTTCTTAATAAATTCCATACCCTTCGCGAGATTTACTCTTCGAATTCATCTTTTCCTCTCGCAGGAAAGGAATCTCGATTTCGAAATTATCTCGATTTTATTTCGCGATTTCTCGAAATTTCTTGATAACGGGAATTGGGGCAATAAGAGACGATCTCGAGGTGCGATCGTTGTTCCTTCTTCTCTTTCCTTTCCAACCGGTCACCGATGAAATACATTAAGTAGCTCGGTGCTAAGATTGGCCCTCAAGTGAATTTTGCGTGTCCCGTTACACGAACCGAATCTCGTCGCATTCTTGGATCGAGGTCATGGCTCCGCAAACGTGGCGTAGTCAGTTCCTCCAGATCTCGGTTTGCATCGCGGCTACGATTTCCCAAACCGGTGAATGGAACACCGACCAGACAATGATTCGCCTTTCCTACGATTCGCTTCGTAGTCCCTCCAACTTCTATATAAGTGGCGTTAATTTCGCGTTCGTATCGATGCAAGGGAAAGGAAAAGAAAAGAAAAGAAAAAAAGAAAAAGAAAATGGCGAAAAAATCGCTTTTGTATTCGTGTCTCGCGGTAGACAGCTCCGCGTTTTCTCCTTTTCTTCTTTATTTCGGGGAAAAAGTTCGATTACGTGCTTCTGGTTAATTGTGGAGAGGGGGAGGGGAGGGGGATCAAGATGGCGGATCGGTCGAGTTGACGGTTTGTCGAAAGGCGATATTTCTTCGATATATTTTTAAAGAAATTTTTAAAGAACAAGTGAATTGTTTGGTACGGTTTGGTTAATTGAGATCAATGGATTAACGTTGATGGTAAAAACGTGTGGTATAGTACAATATATTGTCTCACTTCACCAGAAAACGAGAAAATCTCGACGATTCTTTTTCTTTTTTTCCACATGACAGTTCAAAAATTCAATCACAAAGGAACGTTATTCATACGACACGGGGATTCGAGGGGACACTACTACGTTCACGGTTGTCGAGAAACAGGTGTACACCAGTTTCGCGTTGACCTTTCGTGATTGCAACTAAGGTGTCCGCGCAGGTGTTCAAACTATGCTCGATTATGAATAACAACCGTGTCTTAATGTAACAATGGCGACACGAGCCAGTAGTCGCACCTACGAGCTCCGCTCACTTCTCTCTTCTCAACAAGGCGAATTCTTCTATAATAATAATTAATTAAAATAATTTGAATTAATCATGATATATATATATTTTCAATTCCACTAATATAACACGTACAATAAAGATCTCGATCTAAATTTCGCGCGTGTTTTTTTTTTTACTTTCTCGTCTGGCCCTAATAAAAATTTCCACGATCATGGTCTGAAGAAAATGCCTGGTGGAAGTCGCCTACGACTCGAGAAAACGCGTGGGATCTCTGATGAATCGTGCGTCGAATAAATAATTTTAGAGGCTGCTTGTCCGGCCAACTCCGTGAATCATTCAATCATTCAGAATAAATTCTGAAAATTGTGAACCACCTGGATATACCTTCACGTTTTCTTATTCGTTAATCGACGTCCATCGCCCTCTACGGTGATTTAATTGGTGATTTATCGCGCTTTAGGTGATATCGACAGCTCAGCTGTCGAGGAATGTCGAGATTACAACTTGTACGAGTAGATTTAATTTATTGCTTATACGGATACGGAAACTTAGTTGAACTCTTATTGCTGTATATAGATATTATTGCTTACGGAATACATTTATGAAATTCTTTGTATATAGACACAATGAAACAACATTTTATTTGAAAAATGATGCTTCACATATTAAAAATATCATTGTCCTCTTCACAAGTTCTATACTATAATTTTACATTCTTAATTTTTCCTTTCAGAGAAAATTTAACTTTATTCTCTCTGTCCCTTTATAATATCATCTTTTATACAAAATAAAATAAAATCACTTTAATCGAGCAACATTCTCGCAACGAAATAAATCTAATAATATGATAAATTTCACTTCTCAAACTCGCGTAAAAGCAACGCCACTCTAGACCGTGTGTCCTCTTAACACAAATCTCGACGAATCTCGTTCGTCGAAAATTATCATATTCAGCACGTGGAAATGGACACGGGAAAAACCAACGTATAAGGTATGTTTCACAAGTAGGAATAATCGAATAATCCTCAAAGGGGGAAGAGGGGGAGGGATGGCTTTATTCGTTCGAGCCGCGTTTACAGTTATCATTGTTCGGATGGAATGCGGCTTCCCTTTCCTGTTTTCGTTCAAACCGTTCAAAATGCAAACCCGGAAAGACCTTGGCCACCGTATATCGGTCTCGCCGATTTCGCGTTCCATCGCGATTAACCGCGCGTCGAAAATGGTATCGAACGTGTACATACGCGAGAGATCGCTAAGGAAGAAATTTAACGCATGCGCACGTGTGCATTTTCCATTCGAGACGTTTTGTTGATCGATTAAGACTTTTATGGCTCGATAAAAACGATCAGATACGAGGCAATCGAAATATCTCGGCGAGACTCGGCGGATTGCGGAATTTCAGGGGCAACAATGCCGGTCCTCGATGTCGCTGCGATCGCCTCATCTTTGCTGTTGCCAATTATTTTTTTGATCGATTTCATAGAGTATATTTTTTTTGTGGAAAAGAATATTTTTGTTGAAAGAAATTATTTTCGTGAACTTTGATCGTATATTGAGTTATTTTTGTAACGATTTATGATACAAAATTGTGAACTTTTGTAGAAAAAGTGAAACAGGAATAATTTTATTTATGACTATTTAATCGTATAAATATATTTATGGGAGAGAGTATATTTCAAAAAGTATATTAAATGTAAGTGTGTTTGAAAGCTTGTATTATTTAGGAAACATTGCTCGGACAATTTTACAAAATTGTAAAATTTGTCGATCGCTGAATTACACCTCTCCATTATACATTTTCGTTTGCTGCGTCGGAAGTCGTGCGACTTCATTTGCGAAGCATCAAACTATTTTTTATATAATATCTGTACTAAATACTTTTTTGATTATTTGAAACGTGTCTCGTTTGTATTTTTTCCCCCATGACGTCAGTTAAATGTGATTGCATGTCATTTAAAGGTCATCAAGCATTTGTTGAAAATGTCATCATGTAAAAAAAATATTATAAATTCATAGCATGCTTTTACCCATGGCATTTGGGTAAAATTTTTTCTTTTTTTTTTTTTTTTTTTTTTTTTT